GGCGAAGCGGCGTTCCTGAGACGGGCTGCTCAGTGATGAAGTCGAGTGTTTCCCAGGAGGCGGTAGCAGGCCCCCTCCTTCCCCCGGTGGAGGGCCGGGGGAGAATCTTTTGTTCTCAGCTCCCCGCTTCTCACCCACGGGTGGGCAGCACCCTGAGTTGGTTAAAGAGAGACTTGACATCATCACTGAGCACACAGACAGGAGTGAGTGTACGCGAGGTCACAGCGCGTCGCCTCACTCATTCCTCTCGGTCTCTGAGGGTGAGGAAGGGAGCATGTGTCGTCCCTCGACTACACCACTCCCCTCCCCCTCTATCACCAGACCCCCGGCAGAACAGACCCCCGTGGAACGCTGGTCCTTCCCTGGTCTCTTCTGTCGGGGAACGGGGCTCGACTGTGCACCCGCACGGGGTAACTCCTGTGCGCATGCCGGTCTCACCGCCTCGCTGCCCCTCCGGGGGGATGTCTGTGGTTCGCATGACCCCGCTGGTTCAGTTCCTGGGAGCCTGGCTAGAGCTCCTCGACCTGTCCCGCTGCGTCATCAGAACGATCAGATTCGGCTACGCGATTCAGTTCGCGAGGTCTCCTCCCCGTTTCAGGGGAGTTCGCTTCACAGTGATCGGTGGCAATGCCCCGGTCATGAGAGCGGAAATTGCGACCCTGCTGGCGAAGGGTGCAATCGAGATGGTCCCACCAGCCGAGATGAGGTCAGGGTTTTACAGCCCCTACTTCATTGTCCCCAAGAAGACCGGTGGGTTACGACCGATCCTGGATCTGCGCATTTTGAACCATACTCTTCATCGATTGCCGTTCAAAATGCTCACAGCCAAACGCATTTTCGAATGCGTCCGGCCTCAGGATTGGTTTGCAGCGATCGACCTGAAGGACGCGTACTTTCATGTGTCCATTTTGCCTCGACACAGACCGTTTCTTCGGTTTGCTTTCGAGGGCCAGGCATATCAGTACGCGGTTCTCCCATTCGGGTTAGCTCTGTCCCCTCGCGTCTTTACGAAGAGGCAGCCCTTGTCCCCCTTCGCGAACACGGGGTTCGCATCCTGAACTATCTCGACGATTGGCTGATCCTAGCACACTCTCGAGAACAGGTTTGCGAACACAGAGACCTGGTGCTCCAGCACCTAGCCCGTCTGGGCCTTCGGGTCAACCGGGAGAAGAGCAAACTTTGCCCCATGCGCACTTTTCTTTAAATCACACAGCAGAAACTGAATGGCTACTTAATTACAGTCTTGTGCTGTATTATAAAGGCACAATGTCATATCACGGTTTCGGTGTTGGGAAAAGGGAGAAGAGGGAGTTCTGCAAAAGGCACTCGAAAAGGGATTCGAACTCTGGTCGAACGCGTCAAAAATTGCTTTCAAGCACCTCACGCTCTCGCCCTACGCCACTGCAGATATTAAGTTAGAGGTATCTTTTTTGCTAAAAACACAGGGACGTAGTGCAAATGTACACTCTCAACTCACGTTCAAAGTCATAGGCAGCGCAGCGTCTCTCTGTGCATCGCAAAAGCCAGTGTTGACAGTTTGTTTAATATAAAGCGGGAGATTACCAGATACAGTATTTTGCTCGTGCCCTGTGGGTGTTGTAGCCTAGGCAACTGTATCACGCGCCGTTTGAACTGACGCGCTCCTGCGATCTGTCACATTTAAAAGCGCCAAAACGTTATTTCGTTTCGAAACGAAATCTTATTTCACTGTTGTTGAGTTTTTTTCAGCTTTGTACAACATTTGCTTATATTTGCTTAATACATTTACTGTAGTTTAATTGTAATGTAAAGAGGGAAAGCTCTACCATTTAATTGACCTGTGCATGCGTTTTAGACACTTACATCGTTCTTTCTCCATCAGTGCAATAACTGCATCCATGTTATGAGCCGAGTTTTTTATTTACTTTAACTGCTCAGTGCTCTGGCATTATCAATGGGATTATGTATTTCAGGTGTTGCTAATAATTCAAATTTAAAATCAGAATATTAGCATAGCTCACTTACATTCACTGGAACCGATACTGATTCAAAACATGAGCGCCAGTGATTGAACGACAACGTGCGGTTTGAAAACCCCGCCGCCCCAGCCGAACTGAAAGTTTTGATTGGTTTTGCAAGTCAGACCTGTCCGTTATTGGCTGAAGTGCTTCAGCTCTGTCTGTTATACACAAATCCGGCGAAACGCGGAAGTAAAGCAGCGCCGCTATTACTGTTTTTTTTTTTTTTTTTTTGTGCATATGTCCAGTGATGCCGGGAAGAGCGTGTTGTGTGCTTGGCTGTTTTAACAATTTTCTCTGTATTGTTACTGACACATTATGGTACGAGTTTATTTATTGCTGCAACTGGTCGTGGCTAATAGTTATCTGCAACTTGTGAATAGTCAACTTCAGAGAAAAATGTGGGAAAAGTGTTGTTCTTTACAGGAAAATAAGAGACACTCAAAATATCCGTACTGTATCAAACAGTATATGTCATTTCAGGTTAGTATGCGTTTAATATTTTCTTTTTTAAACACAAAAGTTTAAACATTGGTTTTGCTTAACCTATTTATGTACAATTTAATTGTAAATCGGATTTTAAGATCATACAAAAAAGTCACATTACACAAATCAATCATACTTCAAAATAATAGCATTTTTCTGAAATAAAAAGCTTTTGTAACAAACGCTACATTTGAAAAAAATTAAAGAAAGTAATATACTACTTTTATTCAGAAAGGACGCATTAAAGTAATCAAAAAGTGAACGCAAACATTTATAATGTTACAAAGATTTTTTTATTTTGGATTAATCTACTTTGAATCTTCTATTCATCAAGGAATCCTGACTTTTTAAAAAGAAAACATTAATAATAATCAGAAATGTTTCTTGGGCAGCAAATCACATCAGCATTTTATTACCTGGGTAATATTTAATGTTTTCTTGCATGGCTAGATGTTGCGCCCATAGAGTTTGCGGCGGATTTGTGTATAGGCTGAAGCGCAGGGCTCCACCGCAGTAATTTTGGAAAGTGTCTGTCAAATGTCAGCTTGCCCTGTTGCTTCGTCGGCACCTTTGTCAAAGTGCTTCCATAGTACTTTGTACTTTTGGTGAAAAACAAATTAGCGAAGTTGAATACTTTATTTTTATTCTACTCAAGTAAGAGTAAAAGTACCACATTTTAATTATACTCAAGAAAGTAGAAAAAATGAAAAATCTAAGTAAGTACTGTAATGAAAGTATTTGTAATTAGTTACTTTCCACCTCTGTCAGGAAGTGGTATTGTGAGGAACAGAAGCCCCAGAGCTGCTCTCGTGTGTGTGGTTCTGCTGTGTGTGTTTCTGCTGACTGCGGTCATAGTGCTGTGTGTCCACATCAAGACAAAGAGCACTAACTACACTGAAGAGACACACCAGCTACTAACCAAGATCAACAACCTCACAGAAGAGACACACCAGCTACTAACCAAGATCAACAACCTCACAGAAGAGACACACAAGCAAGAAACCAAGATCAACAACCTCACAGAAGAGACACACAAGCAACAAACCAAGATCAACAACCTCACAGAAGAGACACACAAGCAACAAACCAAGATCAACAAACTCACAGAAGAGAGAGATGAGCTACTTACCAGGAACATGCAATTGACAAAAGAGAGAGATGGATTATCATCAAGTAACCGTGACCTGATTAGAGACAGAAACCAGTTAAAAAAGGAGAAAAATGACCTGTCAGAATCTCTTCGTGTAAAGGGTAAACATAAAAACTAAACTTGGTTGTTTCATTTTCACAGGATACATTACTAATTATTTAGGTGAAACCGGTTAAAATGAAGTTTGTAGGTCAGTGTGATGGGAATAAAGTGATTAAACCTAAACTGGTTGTGTTTACAGATGGATGGTTATACCATAAATCCAGTCTTTACTTCCTTTCCACTGAGAAGAGGAGCTGGACTGAGAGCAGAAGATACTGTACAGAGAGAGGAGCCGATCTGATCATCATAAACAACAGAGAAGAACAAGTGAGTAAACTAATCGGTTACTATCCAAATACTATCACTGCTTTACGCAGCGTTAAAACTCCTTTTACTCGATTTACTGAAGCCTATAATGTAAAACTCATTTAGCAGCTGCACAGTGATCGTCTGTCTCACTCACTGGTTGTGCTACGGCAACTATGGAGAGGCGGCTCCCTCGATGGACCCGCCAAAGGAGTCAAGGCCCGCCACGTGTGTGTGGGGCCGCTGATCTCTCGCAAGATCAGAGACGTGATGTAGTCGCTGAAGGAGTGAAATCTGCTATTATGGTTATCATAGACTAAAGCCTATAATAGGATGTGCATTTGCCGCAGCACAGTCAATGAGTGAGCCAGACGATCACTGTGCAGCTGCAAATGCATTTTACATTATAGGCCTCAGGAAATCGAGGAAAAGCAGTTTCCCCACTGCTTATAGATGCGATACAAAGTGACCGTTTAAAAGCGGAGTCATTTTATGACTGAATAACTATTTATAGGAAGAAAATTGTTAATTCTCTTTATGATCTAAATGTGTTGCTGTTTAATTTTCTCAGGGGTTTGTTCAGAAAAAATATCCTAATGATAAAGTCTGGATTGGTGTGACTGACAGTGATGTGGAGGGCACGTGGAAATGGGTTGATGGAAGCAGACTGAACTCTGGGTGAGAAATCAATGAATTAAACTGATTATTGTCTAATAAATTATTCTCACAGTCAGTATTATATCACACAGGCTGATCTTTAATTGCAGGTTCTGGGCGTCTGGAGAGCCAAATAGTTACAATGGAATTGATGAAGATTGTGCTGTAAATTATGATACAGTATTTGCTGATCATCCATGTAATGATGCTTTTAAATGGATCTGTGAGAAGGTCATTTTAAAATAAGTCAATTCATGAACTGGTTTAGGTAAAAAAATACATCACGGTGTTTCCTAGTTCAATATGTCAGTCTGCTGATGATGAAAGAAATGTGGAACATGGGTGTTTCTTAAAAATATTAGTCTATTATAAGTCTATTATTATAAGCTACTTTTTGAAATGCGTTTTAATTCCTTCTTCTTCTTTGATTCCTTGACCATGTGACCGAAACCCAAATGTGACGCGTTGAAATTGACTAGATAGCTCAGATAATTACAACTTCCCCCATCGGACTAAAGGTGTGACAATTAGAAGACACCAGTGCTGCGTCTAAATTCGCCTACACCCTAAAACTATTAACTCTTTTTGTAAAGAAAAAAAGAGATACTTTTGAGTGTGTAGTACATACTATCACGTCAAACAATTGCATCTTTAACTATTGCTCTGTGCCGCATTCTGTGACAGTAAACTGACCGGTTAATCATCTTGTCACAGTTAAAATCTTCAACATTTAATTTCATTTAATTTCATTTCCCTGCCGTATCGGAGAGAAATGCAGAAGCGTTGATGTGTTGTTTCAACTCTCCTCATATTAATGCAGTATTAATGATGCCTTTAAAAGTTAATGGCCAAACTGATCTTTATAAATGTCCACATTGTTATTGCAGATAACATAAATATAACAGAAAACATTTTTTATCAGGTTAAACTTTGACAAGTCACTCGAACCTTTATCCAAACCTTTCACCGGTCGTCTTGCAAATCCGGCATGTTTTTTATTTATTTTTTACACTTTTTGTTTGTAGTTCCTCTTACAAGGTTGTGTTCAATATTAGCCTTTATAGTGAGCACGGATCCACACTTCAAAAATCCACCGGAAATAGTAGATCATCCGGGGACTTCTGGCATACTCTTTTCAACATACTATGCTTTGGGACACACTTATTTTAATCTCACACACTGTTCAGGATGGTTAGTATGGACATTGAGACGCATTGATATCTTGGCCTACAGGTCTCCAGCCATATCACCCCTTTGTCTTCAGGAATTCTTGATGGCCCTTGGGGTAAGAAAGAGGAGCTTAAAGTATCTTTGATTATTTTCAATCTTACACTATCGTAAGCTCTGTCCAGTCAGTTTCTAGTCAAAGTCTCTCAAATATTCATTGGTAATCAAATTCTCTTCTCGCTAACTAGTTACAGTAATTTAATTATTTTCCTTGAAAAAGTAAAGAAATGGATAATCATTATACTTTTATTAGTTTATTAGATTATTAGTTACTTCTGATGTAGCAAATGTAATCTTGGTGTGTATTTCTGTTCCCTTTCGTTGTCACTTCGAGTTCCGTCGGATGATAGTGAATGGGGTTTCGCTTAGAAAGCCTATCGACTTCGAGTATACAAAACAAGACAATGGGAAAGAAATGCTATGGGTCTGCGGAATTTGCATAGCGTATCTCCGCCTTACCTCGTGGGTATAAAGGAGGATGCCGGCAACATGCAGATATGTTTTCGCTTCAGAGCTAAAGGCGGGCATACACTGTGCGATTTTCATCCGATTTTGAACCGAATTCTGACTCGTGCGACTCTTTTTCGTGTTGGACTGATTTTCAGCTTTGTCATGCGTCGTTTGTGCAGTGTTCGTGGAGTGTACAGGGAGAAACGAGAGGTTATTAACCTCTCACGATCGACAATCGGTCAGATGAATTTCTGGCATGTCAGACATTTTGGTCATAACCAGAGTTTTGTACATATGTGTATCAGTACTTGAAGTAAAGATATCAAAATGAATGTAAAACAGAACAGAAATTTTGGAAATCGCACAGTTGAAGCAAAGCTACGAACCGATTGCCCTAAACTCAATGTTTTTTCCCTCACTGCGCCTGCGCGAAAACATAAGTTTAACCATTTCATCTGCAGCTCGATGATCGGACCGTGCAGTGTGAGCACATAAATCCTGAACTTTGGCTTTGTATCGCATGCGATTTACTCTTTGACTGTGAGTAGGTACCTTGCTGAAATCGCACAGACATCGCACAGTGTATGCCCGCCTTTAGAGTAGCTTATGACTTCGCTCTACGAGAAGATCCACTCTCTCTGGTGTTGGTGTGACGGCGATCTGCAGCGAGTTCACATTGCCTGCTGATCTGTGCAGTGATCTGCCAGTGAGTGTGTTTCTCCATGCTCGCTTCAACATTGCGGAGTTTTTTTCTCCTCTCACAAAAGAGCTCGCATGCGGCATGTCTTTTAAAGCATTTCTGGTTGCGGTCGACTCATTTCTGCCCTGTGTGCTTGGGCTTGATCACGCTAGAGCAGCGTTTGTGGATGACTCGCGTTCTCCCCACGGGAACGTGACCATTGCGTCATTACGGTTGAGACTCAATGATCTTGTTAGAGAGAGAGTCCCCTCATGCACACCCCGAAGCCAAAGGTTTGGAGGACAGTAGAAAGAGAAAAAGGGAGAGTGGCAAAATAAAAGGCTGGACGAGGATCAATATTGGTCCAGCGTTAGCTCGCTGGCATGAGCCAAAAGGAGGAGGAGGGGTGCCCGACCGATCCAAGAAGTCCTCGCTACAGCCTGTAGCAAGATGGGTACACCAAAATGAGCGAACGATTTATACTAATTCCATTTTAAAAACATTAATTTGTAATACTATTCCACAAAAACAAGTACCCCGACTCCGGTCCGGTGCATCAATCTTCCCCCGCCTAGCAAATGCGTGCGCGATCAGTTTACTGTTGGTATTGTGTTATGTAGCTTCGCCCCTTGCCCCATCCAATGTAGACTGCATTGCTTTCTTTTGAGGGCGCTTAACACACTCAAGCATCCCCGTAGAGCCGGGGCTGGCAGTTCGCGTCAGCTCGAGACGTGAAAGTATACTGATTACTGAGTTTGGTAGGGGCTTCATTCTTGCAAGTAAATAATACATGATTAGATGGACAAAATAATCGGTCAGGATAACTATCCTATGGCTGCAGGCTGATGTTTGTTATTTATTTTTCTGGTGAAAGTGTCTTGCCTCAGGCTGTAATGCAAATCGATTTTTTAAATTTGCAGATTCATCTATGGTAGCTTGAAGAGGGAAAAAATAAAGCCCATGACACTATATTCATAAGACGTGCTGAAATATATGCCAATGTACCTGGGATGAAGACATTTCACACGCAACACTGGAGTTTGCCCAAGATGTGAGAACTCCTTCCTTTTGCAGAGTTCGGGGGTATCGCTTGTCAACAAATGCACACATGTATTCCCTAGTGTAACCATGACAGATTTTACGACAGTAGTAGAAGACAATACTGTTTCCCAACTGTAGGGGGACCCTGATAGCAAAATTTCAAAAGTAACATAATGCTGCTTTAACTAATGGATAAATTTCAATGATCAGCAGCCATGTGCTGAACAGCATAGCAGGCTTACTTGGGAAGGCCCGTTAGCAATCGCCAACTTAATGAACAACGATAGTGGAAAAATGCCTAATCCTCGTCATCAATTTGTGGTTTCTGTCAGGAGTTAATAAACAAAGTACACTTCATCCATCTTGCTTACTTGTCACTGGTAACTCGTCACTGGTTCTGACTTCCTCTTTGAAAAGATTAACCAATAATAAAATCTTACCCACAAACACAACAAAAGATTACATTTTTACATCTTTAAAATACTACAAAATTTTTCTGGGACATAATAGGTTAAAGAAAATATCAAAAATACATTTTTGTAAGCTTGTATACTGCTGCAATAAGTTATGTATTGAAATGTGTTAAAAACACATTTATTTAACTTTGTTACTCTCTCACTTTGCTTTCTGTTTTTACTTAACTGGTGTGTAAAAACTAAATAAAAAAACTACACAAAAAATATATAAGGGATTGTCTAGGATTATGTTCCGGGTTACTTAACTGTAACCCTGTTCCCTGAAAAAGCGGAAGAAGATGCTGTGCCGCTTAGCGCATTGGGAACGTCTTTAATCGTGACCTGCGGTGAATATAGTGTGTAAACACGTCAAAGGAATCGACCAGAAGTAATATAGCCTCGGTCGGTGACATCATCGGCGCACCAGCGACGCAAGGCTGTAAATAGATGAACCGCAGGTGCATCGTCAGAATATTTTGTCTGAAGAGCAGTCCTGGGACATCATCAGCAGGGCAGCATCTCGTTCCGCTTTTTCAGGGAACGGTTACAGTCAAGTAACCCGGAACGTTCCATTTCAAAAGCTACAATCGATGCTACGCTGCTTAGCGCATTGGGAACGAGAATACCCACGCCGCCGTGCTTGAAGATGTCTGGACTCCATACGGCTGTGTAGGTGTGCTCACAAGAACGCAAGAAAGCCCTAGACATTAGCTTGTAATGTCGACTCAAGGACGTGAGAGCCTGGAGTGGCATGAACATCTAAATAAACTATAAAACCTTATGTATGTGTGCAAATGGGACCAGCCTGCCGCATCACAAACATGCTGTAATGGGGAACCCCTTGCCAATACAGCAGAGGAGGCAACCCCTCTGGTGGAGTGAGCCCTTAGACCTGTTGGCGAAGCTTAGGCAAGAGCAATAGCATCCCTGACCCAATGTGACATGGTCTGCTTAGTAGCGGCAGTTGCTCTGACTTACACCACTGGCGAGTGTGGTGAACATAGGCCTGAAGAGCACGGACTGGACAAAGTCTATGAGATCTCTCCTGCTCCCGCATTGTGAACGGTGGAGGACAGAAGGCCTCAAGAGTGACCGGATGTACAACCGAAAATGGTACTTTAGGATGAAGATGCAAAATTATTTTCACCATTCCTGGGGCAAAGTCTAAGCAGGATGGCAATAATGACAAGAGCCTGCATGTCCCAGATTCTTTTTAGAGAGGTTATAGCCATAAGAAAAAATATCTTTAGTGTCAGAAGTTTGTCAGACGCTGACTCTAGAGGTTCGAAGGGGGTCTCAACCAGACCCTCCAGGAGTATAGCTAAGTCCCATGAAGGGATCTTGGTTCTCACGGGAGGCCTCAGTCGTCTGGCACCACAAATGAAGCGAGCAAGCAGAAGATGTCTCCCGAGTGGCACCCCGTCAACAAAGGCGTGGCAAGCCGAGAGAG